ATATTATATTTTATAGTATAGTATACCTACACACGTTTTGGCCGTTTCCGTCGATTGCGGTTGAAAATGACCCGTTGTAGCGTAATGCGGTCGGGCGTTATTTTTACACAGTGTTTTTTTGTCGATTTATATTTTTTTCACGTAGTCGACACCTCTAAACGAGTGAATAAAAATTATGTATAAATTATCACGGTTCCATTAGTTTGCGCACGATAAATACTAAAGTGAAAAAAACCACTGTCTGACAGTGAAGCGAGATTGCTTTTTTCTGTGGACAGCGTTAATTTTTTATGTCCCCCGAAATAATTTTTAAACTTTTTATATACGCGTAAATATTTGTATATATGTATATTTTAACTCAGAATAATCGTTTTTACACTGGACTCGAATGAATGCCAAAATATTTCTTGAAATACACGTTGAAAATTACGCCGACCTGCAACCGAGAACAGTTTAAGAGGATGTCGCAGCTGGAGGGGACATTTACCAAAAAAGCCGATACCAGAAAATGGCTTCCCTATTTTAAATCATATACGGGTGCCGGCGTTGTTCACTAATGCATAAAGCAATTAGTCAAACAAATTAAAAAATTAAACCATTATTGCAGGTTGGTAAAGTTTAAACATATATTTTTTTTAAATACCTACAGTCTACACCCGAAATATGTTTATAGGTTTTGCTTTATGTGATTGAGGTACGCGTTTTATTAAGTACCTATATTATATTATATTAAATTATGTGAGATTGCAATAATATCAGTCACACTACTGACATTTATGCTGTAGAACGAAAATCCGGTAAAATAAAGCATCTCTATAAATATGTACCTATCACTTTAATTAATCCTGTCAGCTGCAGAGTATAATATAATATATTATTTAGTATAATATTATAGTACAACAATATATTATTATAATATACTATATATAATACATTGTGTTGGATTTTGATACGACGATACTATATCGTGTGTGATGATGACGATGACGTATAAATAATTTGTGTATGGCTTATACCGACAAAACGATGGGGCCAAGTTCAAGGTCAAACTGTGAACGGACCGCAAAAAGTAATTGTTATACGAGAGCGCTTTATCAAGTTCATTGCACGGATCGGTAGGACGTGTACATACGACGTCGTTGTGCTTCAAGTTTAACATAACAAGAAACATAACGGACCACAGAAATCGATTTTATAAAACGCGGTCGGGTGTAAATAGGTACTTGGACGATCGATGAAAATTTACTGTTTGAAATTGCTCCATTGAAATTAAAAAATATATAATATTATACTATACGTAGGCGACATCAATAATAAGACGTGGACAATTTTAATCGTTTCTATGTTTGCACAGTAAAAATGATACACATACGATCGGCTTTGCGCACTTCGTGAATGATACGAATAAGACGGTATTATAGTGATAACTGCATAATAAGTATAATTTAATTGCGGATTTTTTTTACAACGGCGTCCACTCAACATTAGGAATCGTCAAGCGTACTTACGCATAATAATTCTCAAATAATCAGTGACGATAGGTGATAAATAATAATATACTGTGACTTATGCAAAGGTTCCGAAAACATCCGACTACGACTGTAGTTAGCATTTCTGTGTATAATTAATATATCTGCAACGTATATCATATTATGTGTTACATAAACAAACCATTTTATACGGTTTATACTGAGAGTTAATAATTGATTTATTTTGAACTTTATTCCTTTGGATTATTACAATATTACCCCTGTAACAACTTGTTCAAAATTAAATACGTTATAACTTATAGGTAGGTACTTACTTACTTCATAATTGTTCTAGTACAACAAATGACAATAATGTCACCTAATCTATATTTTTTTTTTTTTTTTGGCACTTATCCACATTAAATTTAATAGTGCTGCACACCGAGTTCTGTTTATTGGCCCTATGTTGATTCAAATCAAATTATATATTATTTATAATTTATAAATTATAAATTGAAATTTGAAAATATATAAGGTTCCTAACAAGTTGAGATCCCCGGGAAAAATGCAAGTTTAAAAGATAAATGCTTTCATGGTCACAGCTTATTCATAAGTTCTCATTACTTATTAAGATTCATAATATGGATTGAATGACTTTTTATACCTACGAGAAACGGAATGAATAACGCTTTACAGTATAATATTTAAAGGAGTAATTTCGGAATTTTTGGTTTCGACCCGCTTGCACCTAGTATTATATAGATTACTCATGGCGTTGTCATATTGTATTGTCGTTTATATTATAGTATTATCTATTTAATATCCACGTCGATAAACGCAACGAATCGCCACGCTATTTAATTAGACCGAACACACGCGCACGCTGTAGGAGGTGCGCACTCCGAAGTCACAGCCCCCGGGGGCACACCGTGTTGGGTCTTTTGGTTACACTAATACAAAAATCTAATCCGTCTGTAAATCTGAGACAATTTTATTTTTTTTCCACTGAAACTTGTTAAATAATAGTAACTACAAGAAAAGAAATAATAATAATAAGATGAAAAAAAATAATACAATAATAATCCTTTTGATTGGTATGTATATAAATATATATATAGCGACTGCATTTTTATTATATTATATACAATATAGGTACATCGTACATATAGTGCATGTGGCGTATGCACATGTATATAAATATACCTATATATGTGTATGTATTTACTATAACTAGAAATGGAATGTTATCCTTTTGAAAACCGTCGGTTCTAATGGTCTCGGGACTTCAATTGGCAGGCGGGTATATGGTGGTGGTGTGCCCATAGAGTAGGATAGAACGAGGAGAAAAAAAAATGATAAATCATCGTGAGGGCACGTCAAGATCATTTTTAAGATAGTCATTCATTCGTTAGCATATTCCTCGGTTGTCTTATGGCCACCATTTATTATTATATTACATTTTACGTATACTTATATATATATTATATATGTATAGAGTTTTTACATTTTATTTTTTTTTGTTCTCTCGGTCGAGTACCCGATGTGGTCCATCCTCTCTTTATTTTCCTATTATTAAATTTTATTATTATTCAAACACAATCGATTCGTGATTGGAAAAAAAAAGGGTGTGACCCAGACGTCGCGGAGGAACCGATTTATTTTTTATTCGATAAAAACCAGACTCGCGACGATTTAATTCTAAACGTTTGGTAAGTTTAAACTATTCTGAATTTATTTTAAATATTGCTTGAATAAAATAGCGAATATATTAAAAAAAAGAAAAAAATACAATTGTCACAGTTTTAAAATTAATGCAAAGTATACCCACCTTATTTAACAGTACCTACCTAAAGTATACACAACAGTTCAAACAAAATAGTCAATAATATGACATAAAAAATATTTTCAAAGATACAATAGTGTTTTGCCGTAAAAACTGAATGGGCGGGCCCAAGACACAAAAGTGAAGTATCAAATTAGGCTCACCGAAAGGCAAACTTGTGCAGAAAAATACACAACACGTTTTATTGTATTACAGTATTGTATTCAAACTAGATTTTACAAACAATATCATGCCAGAGAAAAAATAATATTTAGATATAATCGTTTTGTCGGATTAGAGAAATTGTATTTATGTAACATTACAAATTATAGCTTGAGCGAATGCAATACTCTCATAAGCGTGTCTGTGGTGATTAATGAATTGACTCTTCCGTTATTCGATTTGAAAATTGGTTTGAAAGTTCAAATGAGCAAACGGTGATTAACGGAAAAAAATAAATAAAAATGGCAGGGAGAGAGTGTGAAAACAACTAAAAGCAAAACGAGCGTTGTAGTAGTAGTAGAAGAAGCGTTGGATCGGAAATAACGAGTGCCATCAACAACACTTAGATATAGAATATATTTAAATAATATGTATATATAGGTTCGGGATCCTATTTCTTTTCCTGCATAATAATATAATATATTACACCTAATACACAGCGATACTGTAAGTTGTTGCCTTTTGTGCGAGCATCTTACAAAAGTACGCCGCCTGAAAAGGAAAACGCTCACGGTCGTGTACAACAGTCAACAGCTGATAGATAAACGTAATGATCAATAAGATAAAAATTAATTATCCTATGCGGTTATTGATTTGTTTTGTTTTCGAATTTTTCGAATTATTATTGTAATATTGTTATTATCATTGTTATCACGTATTGATGCGTTTTTCACTCTTTCCGTCCAGAGGCGAGAATGATATTGTTCGGCCGAAAACCAATTGAGTGAGTCGTACTCGGCTTATGGCTAAACAATTTTTACTACCAATCCGTCTGCTCTGAAGCTTTTTCCTGACTCAATAACAAAAATACGGAAAACCATTCGAGTACGAGCACTATGCAAAAAAATTCAATCGGCGGAGGTATTTCATCAATCGTGTCATCACCGTCGTCATTAGTGATTTTTCCCGCTGGCGAATCCGACGTTATCGCTCGATGATCGCAAGTCCCCGACCACCTTGTTTTTGGTGGACCGACCGACGCACAAAACCTCTTGGGATTTTTTCCGCTTTTCCATCTGAACGATTAATCATTGATACCGGGCTGCACGTCTTCTTCGTCATCGTCGTCGGATCGGTCGTCCTGAACAATAATTTATATTATAATACACCTGCGTATCATCATTGTTATTATCATTATATAGTCGAAGACCTGGACAAACGACCGGGATAATACTACTCGTGCTCTATCATATTTTACCTTGTTGTGTGTAAGTTTTGTCCATAAAAATGGTGTGGACTAGTCACATTTCGCTTTAAAAATAATAAGTCAATAATCATTAATAGTCTTGTAAATATTGTTGTCAGTAAAAATAAATGGACTAACGTAACTGATACACAATTATTAGGCCGGGCGCACATTGAGACGCAGCGCAACGCAGGGTAGGTTAAGTTAGGCAGGGCAGATTTAACTGCGTCGCTCCTATGACCGCACATTGAACGCAGTTTCGTGTCATCTTTGTATACAATTGGTCATAGAACGTACAAATATGGATGAACTACACGATCTAAATTACAAACTAGACCTAAGTTCAGAGTCTGATTCAGATGAAGAAATGAACGAACTTTTACTTTTGTATTCATTATCAAAACGAAATAAATCTATATGGAAAAGCGCGTACATGAAGAAAAGAAAAAGTCACGGTGAATTTATTCTGACATCGGAATTTTCCGATAAACAGTTCACCAATTACTTCCGTTTGAATCGAAACCAATTTAATGAAGTCCTAAGTATTGTCAATGATAAAATTTATTCAGTAGGATGTAATGCTCAAAAACCAATTGATCCCGAAGAAAAACTCGCTGTATTTTTAAGGTGAGTTATAATTTTTATTAAATAACGACCTGCTTACAAAAAAATATTATTATAGTATAAAAATTAGGACTTATGTGTTAATTTTACACTTAACAACTTTAACAAAACATTTTTCAACATAAAGTTTAACATTAAACATAACATTTTAAATTTTGATAAAACTTTTGCATAACTTTGCAATAAACATAAAGAAATTTAAATTAAAAAAAAATTTTTAAAAAATAACGATACTCAAAATTAGTTTTGAAAATTTGTATAAAACTGTCTTATGTCACTCCGATTTTCACAAGACTGTGTATCCATAGAGCTGTTGGACATAAAACTTTCATGAGAACTAGAAGAGTCTCCTATGAATTGCCACGTGGAAGTAGACTGAGTTTGTTCGTCTAAATTATGTTGAAATGAAGTGTTCGGGATATTCAAAAGAGCTGCCTCAGCTTCCGAAACAGTCTCAAATATTTTATTTTTTACTCTGAGTTGAGATGCTGGTGGTAGTTTTTGCGTGGTGTGATACATTGACAAAAAAAAATGATAAAGTGGATCAGTCAAAGGTTTTGAGTCCTCCAACTTTTTACGCTCCATCGCCCTTACTTTTGCCCTATGTTCTCGATTTATAATAGATTGTTGGATTAAGTTGCCTATGTCATTTTTTTTAATTTTTTTATTCTGTGGCTCTTTGAAAACTGTATCTCTATCTTCATTGCATTCAATAGATACTTCATTTTCCACGACTGATGATTCCTGATAATTTTCTGACACTTCACTGACCTCTGGGTATTCAATGGCATTTTGCATTGGAGTAGCTGAGTCTTCATCCCCACTATCTACTAAATTGGCCTCCCTTTTTCTATTTGTCATGTATGGCAATAAAAATGACATTTGTTTTTGAAATTTCCATTGCCTAATTGTTTCAGCAGCAGCTCCACTTTTGAAACATTTTTTTTGTCTTCTAAGTGCATCTCGATGACAACACCTTAATTTTGTCCATGTATCTTTTGCAAGTTCACCTGTTACATAATTTAAATTTGACTAACTATTTTTAGATTCTAAACCAAACTTTAGCCTAGGATGTTTTATATCATATTTATATTGTTATTAAATAGAGTAGCATGCAGTATCGAAGTTGAATTAATAATTGAATACCTAATATTTATATTCAATATGGTAAAATCTTGTATTAAATTATCAACAATAATTATTGAAAATCGTTTGCGAATAATTCTTTTTATTCTTACGTGATTTCGTAAAAATTTAAAATTCATAACATTTTTTAATTTTCTTAATTTTAATCAAAATTTAAACTTCAAATCAAGACTTAAATCACAAAAAAAAATGAAATTGTTTACTGTCATAAGAAATGAAAACGTTAAGTAAATTTAAACGTTTTTAAAGTTCTTTTAAATTTCTGTTGAACGTTATGAACAATTTAAACTTTATGAAAATTTAGCGTTCTACATGTAAGGAGCCTCGTATTAAATTTTAAAAATTTTTTACTAAGTGAAAAGTTTTTATCGACAATAATATTTAAAAAATGGTATTCTAAATATATTTTAGATTTATGTCAGTTTAGTTTTAATATTCATAAATTTACAGGTATTTGGCCTCGGGAGACAGTTATAAAAGTATTGCTTACAGCTACAGAATGGGTGATAGAACTGTGTCGAAAATTGTAAATGAAGTAGCACTCGCGGTATGGGACACTATGCAACCTTTGTATTTACCACAACCTACAATGGAAATGTGGAAGTCAGTTGCACTTGAATTTGAACAGCAATGGCAATTTCCACACTGTATTGGTGCTTTGGATGGCAAACATGTCGTGATTAAAAAACCACCAAAAAGTGGTACATCATTTTTTAATTATAAGCAGACTTTTTCCTTGGTACTAATGGCTCTTGTTGACGCAAACTATAAATTTATAAGTGTTGATGTTGGATCAATGGGAAGATTTAGTGATGCCAATATTTTTACGAGCAGTGTGTTGGCAAAAAAAATGAACAGACAATCTTTACAAATTCCACCACCAGAATTTTTACCTGTATTTCAACAACCGTTGCCATATGTTTTTGTAGCGGACGAAGCATTTCCATTATCGGAAAATTTAATGAGACCTTATCCGAAAAAAAGTGTTGTAGGAAATATGGAAAATAAAATTTTTAATTACAGACTTTCACGAGCACGACAAACAGTAGAATGTACTTTTGGTATATTAGCGTCCCGTTTTCGCGTTTTTCGAAAACCATTTGAAATTAAAGTAGAGAGTGTTGACAATGTTGTCAAAGCGGCTTGTGTGTTACACAATTATTTGCGAAAAGAAACGATTATTTCAAATAATATAACAGAAGAAATTGGTGAAATGCCGGATACTCAGTTACTTCCATTGGCCAACAACAATTGCAGAACTGGATCTAACGCTTTTTTAGTGAGACAAAAGTATACAGATTACTTTAATACTGTAGGAAGTGTACCTTGGCAAGTAGACAGTGTAGCTAGAGGAAAGTACTGACAAATTTTTTTTTGAATTTTGTATTTTATATGATACTATAATAACACTTTTCATTATTTTCTAAATATTTCAAATTTTTATATATTATATTATAGGAAAATGTGAATACAAATAAAATAAATTAAAATGGTTTAATATTGAATTAAAACCATGTTGTTGTTATTATTTTTAACCTAGTCACCCGAGTGGTTTTTCATCGGTTATCGGTAAATGAAACGTTTTAATATTTATAAATAATCACGTTTATTTTTGATATTATCTAGTATAAAAATAGAATTTGGACAATTTAGTCTTGTATTTTACATGTAATTGTAACTTTTTTTAATTTTCTAATTACAAGTACCTACACTAAATTATTAATTAATATTTTATATCATATTGCATAATTGAATTAAGTTACTACTTACCATTTTTTAATTCAAGATCATCAGCAATTTTGTCCCATAAATCATTTTTTAGTTTTGTTTTCATATATTCAGCATGGCTAGTGTCATATAATATTTTGTGTGGACGAACGGCTTCAATTAATTTTTCCTCCATTGTAGGTATTAAATTATATTCAAATAAAATTATATGAAAATCTATTATTTTATAGAAAACTGTTTGACACGTTCGCAGTAAACTGTGTCACAAACACTGCGTGAGACAGGTTCATGCATGCACTGAACTTCTCTGTCCTGCCCTGTCTTTCAATTAACGCTCAACAATTCGAACCTATGTATCACAAAATGTTTGGCTATGCTGCCCTGCCTACGCTGCGTCGCGCTGCGTTGCGCTGCGTCTCAATGTGCGCCCGGCCTTATAGCTTGCTTTGTTCTTTATTTAGTTATTGTTTAAACGACAAAACTCTTTTGTTTACTTAATTATCTACGTTCATTAATTGATAACAACGGAATCATTTCAGTAGAATGATTTCTATTGCCTATTTATAGTCTGAAACGACCACCTCGTCGACCAAGTCACTGCGGTCCAGGTAAGTTCCTATATAATGCGGACAGACGGCACAAGTATATCGCGTTGTATACCTCAGTACACTGTACACACACATGTCGTACACACAATAACGTTAAATGCATAGGTATAATAATATACATTATAATACGACCAGGTAAGCACACGTGACGACCACTATATAAACATGTTTGTGAACACGGCGACCGCGGTGACGTACCAGAGTCGTATTACCCGGCGACCGCGAGTGTGTCGTACTGTAATAATATATTATATTATTATACCATACGTTTTGCAGTGTATGTTGTGCTAGCAAAGTCGTCGACAGGATTTGTAATCGAACGTCACGCATAATTTTCTGATCTTTTTCGTGTACGACAGACGTACGGACACAAACACACACACACATATATATATATATATATATTCAATATTTAAATGTATATACATAATAAATATACTTGGACACACGTAGCACACCGGGTAGGTCGTGTGTGTATGCGCGGGCGCGGTATCGATACGCGTTGGCTCGCAGCCCAATATGTCCGCACTATATAGGTATACGTACTCAAGCATTATAATATTATATTGTGGTATATTGTTGCCGTATCAGCCCGACAACTTAGCAAGTCCCTCCATCAGCCTTATGTTATTATATACTTACCGAAGCATTTTATAGTTTACCTACACAATATTGTGTGAAACTTTTCATAAGGTACCTACTTTAGTTTTTTCGTTGAATTACTTACCATCGTTAATTTGCAGGTAAATGAATACCAACATTTTGTAATCATTAAAATTAATAAAAGTGTTCCTATACCTGTTCTTTTTCCTATAATAATCCTTTAACCCTAATACATTTGTATTTTTTTACGGTGTTATTAATCTGCTTTAGAGTTATACGCGTTTAAAATTGAATTTAGATTTAAATACTTATATCAACATCTGCCCAATAATCGACTGTTAAAATTATGAGATAGGAGGTAACTTTTTGAAAAAAAATAAGTTTTATTTTTGGTACACCTATTAAATAGAAGGAAACATCGAAGTATTTGAAAATAATATTATGGTCTGTAAGTATAGAGATATTATGTAGGTACCTACATATACCTACTTATAAATTACAAAAATTAGAATTTGAATAAATGCATAGTTAAATGATAAAATGGGATGGAGCATCATCGGCAATATTATGTAGGTAAGTACCTTACCCCTTAGCACCTGTACCTACCTATAATAATTTTTAATAGGACATTTAAATGTTAAAAAATCTAGTAGGAATAAATGTATTTGTATATTGACAACAAGGTCGTAGAAACCCAGATCTGTGCAGTATTTTACTGCGGTATGTAAAAGTATATTATAATATTTTACAATTTAGTATTTACGAACAATTCAAGTACCTTTATGATATCTGCCGGCGAATCGAACGCAACGTAACATAATATATAATGCGAAATAAATAACACTTTTGGATTGCTATGTATTGGCTTCTGATAACCGAAACACTTCAGGCGTTGTCCGACTGATATATTATATTATTTATA